TATATTTATTAAAATATATAAAATTGTCCTTTTAGCTTTAAAAACAAAAATATCAACAATTTAGATTATCCCCTCTTCTTTATGCTAAACACAATTATTCTTCACTTATCTCTCTCTATCTATGCATAACTATTTTCGCTAGCTAAACACAGATGCCTGAGCTAAAAATGAGCAAAAAATAAAAATCATGTGTCAGTTCATGAACTCTACAAATATTTAATTAGATGCGAAATCGACACTCAACAAGACACCCTTCGTTTAGCACAGACACTCTCTCACTCACACACACACACACTCTCTCTCGCTATCTCTTTCTCTTTCATTTTCATTGGCACTTGCAGCTACACACACACACACATGCAGACACTTACCCTCTGACCGATTCAGCACAGAAAAGTTCTGCGCATAATTCATGCCCGAGAAAACCCAATGCAAACCCTCGACATGTGCGACTCAGTGTAATTCGATATGCGACAAGTCCCAGTCCCAGTCCCAATCCCAATCCTTAATGCCCGAACCCAGTTACCCAGCGGCTGCCCTCGACCCGGTTGCACGTTTTTCATTCATTTCGTGCCACTAATAGAATAATTCGTTAATGTAACTACAAGATACAAAAGTAGAATATAATCCGTTGTCGGGCGATTATCATTGGCTTTTAATCTAAACTCAATTGGAAGCTGGCCGGGCTCAACTGAGCACTGAGCACTGAGCATCTGGTAATCTGTTGTTGCCCAAGCATCTGATAGATAGTGAGATACATTTGTGTACGTGTGCACTTCTCATACTCATACTCACATGGATGGGTGGCAGCAAATGGATAGTCGAGTGTGGGCAGGCGCGGCGGATGCGGACCGCACGGATGCAAAGCGGGCGGGCACTGATAGCAAAACATTCCTCTGCCCGCAGCTGCAGGACCGAGCTGGAAGTAGAGCGAACACACAAGTTATACAAATTGGTTAAAAGATTGTCAGTAATTATGATTAATTTATTTGCCAATCACGTACTCAAACTCTGTTACGACCATTTCAATATTGAGGCCCGAACAGACTTGTAATTTAAATGCAATTCAATTGATGGTAACGCTGACTGAGACGGCGACTGCGACAGCAACGGCGACGGCGACGGCGACTGCGAATGCAGCGCATGCGGGCCGACATTGCGTCGCCTTTAATGTTGTCATATGCACCTCAAACTCAATTCGATTCAATTAAAGACAATTACAGCCTTATGACAAATAATCTACAATCGATTTGAGTTTTTTCTTATTTCCATTCCTTTACATTCGCCTCTGCCTCTGTCTCTGCCACTGCCGCCGATTGCAGCGGCGTCGCTGTCTGCATACAATTAAATTGTCCTCAAACGAATCAATTGATTTAAATTAATTGCATTTGCCGCAAAGTCGAGTCCACTCGTCACTCAACTCAACTCAACTCAACGCAACGCAGCTCAGCTATTCCCACATTTCGATCCACTGGCTGTGGCCCGTTGATGAACTGGCATCGACTCTGCTCGGGATGCTGCACTGCCGCTGGCTGTCGCCCAGTTGGCGCCCTTTTATTTATTTTGCATCTGCCCAGCGCTTAATTAGTCCAAGAATTTTACATGGCAAGCCCATTCGCAGTCAACCAGATCAGATTAGATCAGATAAGCTATGAGTGCGATCAACCATATGTGCAGCAAAGTACTCTAAGGACTCTTCCTTTGACTCAATATGTAAACGATACTTGTGAGAAGTCGCAATCTGAAGATCATGCAGAAAATGAGTGTAATGGGCAAACAATAAATTTCAACTCATTTAATTTAATTAAAATTCATAAGGATAAAATATTTTAATTAATATTCATAAGTATACTGTTTTTAGAGATCATTAAAAACAAAATAACATAGCAAATAGTAATGAATACAAAATTTATATTTGATCAAATTAATATTGCACAAATAAAATTGATCATTTTAAATTTGTTTAAAAATTTAGATTTCTTAAAAGAAGTACACTTTTTTTCATATAAAGATAATCGTCAATGTTGCTTTAGAGACAGCACAATATATATTTATTTATATGTTTACTATTTAGGGAGCTATATATAAAAAAAAAATAAAAATAAAAAAAAATAAAAAAAAGACTGCTTATTGAGCGCTAAATTAAATGAATTAATTAAATTAATTCTGCATACAAGTGCAAGGATATCGATAGTTCAGTTCATTTTCTAGCTATCGATCGATAGGTATATTTTGATTTGAGTAATTTGGATTTATCTATAAGGCTTTGTATAGCTAGCAACATAAATATTGGTATATTGGTTCTTGTAGTGATAACTGAAATTGCATTTACTAACATAACTTCATCATATCACTTATATAACTTCATCATATCACTTATATTCATTACCAATGCCAATAAGCCTAAAGCGCTAAAATCTTTAGGTCAAGACTGATCAGCTAGCAGATCTTCTAAATCCTTCGCAGATGTGAGCATATGACTGTAGTCTTTACTCGTTAGAAACTCTTAACTTGATTATAGAAGAGAAACCCATATATGCATACTTAAATTTGTTAAGCTAGTCTAAACCCAGCATAAAGAGCAAATTAGAAAGCCATTACTAATGATATACTAACTCTTCACTTATAACTAAAGATCTGCTCGAGTTTAGAGCTTTCCTTCTCTCAAGTAATATAACTAACATATAACCAATGTCTATCTTCACACACACTCTACAGTAAAGACCCTTTGTCGGCGCTCTCTCTGCTCTCCTCATTAACATTATTCTCATGCTCATTCCACAGCCAACTGCAGTTGTAAATCTACTCGTGCAGCTTCTCTGCTCAGCATTAGCAAACATTTGCTTTAAATCAGCCCATTAAAATTGTAAAAATCAATTTCAGAAATAGCATTTTGATTTGATTTACATATGTAAGGCTCCCAGCTTGGGGCCCATGGGGGATACAGAGGCGACATGGACACGACGTGGATGCTGGCTATTTATTAGCCAAGCAAAATGCAAAATGGGGCCAGAGGAACGCCAGAGCCAGAACTGTGTAAGCCAGCCCAAAATAGTGGCCGCAAAATGTGTACGGCCCCAGTGCGTGTGCATGTGTGTGTGTGTGTGTGTGTGTGTACGGCTATTTAATACGGCCAAATAATTCAGCATGAATTATTCAATGGAAATTAATTCACTAACAACACGCCACGCCGGCCGTGAACAGTGACTCCAAGCAGAGCACCTACTCGGTCCCAGCACGGGCGCCACTCAAAACTTTGCGCCCAACAATGGATGGGGCCAGGTGGGCGTGGCTCACCAATGAGCCGCATGTGCAACATTAGACACGAAATGGCAATTTTCCATTTGGCAAATGAGTTTTGCGGCCGACGGACTCCAAATACAACAATTATGCAAAATTACAAATTCTCACAATTCTAATGGAATGCTCTGGTCAGGTTGGGCCAACCTGTGTGTGTGTGTGTGTGTGTGTGTGTGCTGCAGCTGTTGGCTGTTGGCAGTTAGCTGTTAGCTGTTGGCCGCTGCTGATGCTGATGCTAAATGGAAATTTATTGGCCCAGCCTTGAGGGACGCAGCTGACGCCAGGACATTTGCTGCTGCCGCTGCTGCTGCTGATGCCGTTAAATTATTTTGCGTGTGTAAATTTGGCGGAAATAGTCTGTAACATGATATGCTAACACTTGTGGTGCACGGCGGGGCGTGGCTGGATGATTGGGTGGTACGGGTGGCTTGGTTGGGTCGTGTGCCAGTCATAAATAAAATTCATAAATTTTTTTTTTTTTTTTGTTTTTTAACAAATTTACTCAAATAAATTAAAACGGCGCAAGGAAGCGGCAACAAAATTTGTGCTGCAATGAAATCATTGCTAGCCTGGAGTTATATAAATATATGAGTATATGTAGGTATGTATATATGTTTATGTCATCTAGTGGATATGCATACAATTAATTTTAATTGCAATTGAAATTGAAATTGAAATGCAACTGTAAATGCGAGGCAACAGGAAATTGCGCTGGCACTATCTAATATTGAAAGCAAAGAATCTGTAATTCTATTCCCAAATGTTTGCACAACTATCACAAATTGATGAGAATTATATATTTGGTAAAACATGTATGTGTGTGTGTGTGTGTATGTTGAGACAGAGAGCATTTCTCTTATTCAGGTTGCAGTTTAACAATTTTGCTGAGAAATATAGAAACTCTTTTAATGGCATTGTAGATGACTTTTATGGAGCTGGCACAATATATATATAAAAAAAAAGATGTATTTAATATAATTTCTTATTTTTCAAAAGAAAATTATATTCCTTATAAATATGTTTAATATAAAATTGCCAAAGCTAAGCGAAAGTTGAGTTTGAAGATCTATGATAATGATCTAGAGGTGAAACCTAAGAGCTGAATATAATCTTTTTATATACTATAATTATATTATAAGCTACGAATTAGCAGCGCTATTAAGGAATGTTAAAATATTGCAATTGGAATTCATGTTTTCATATGATAATACAAGGAAAGTAATTTAATTATTCTCTCAAAGCCCATAATGACTTGTATTATTGTACAA